ATAGACATCTTTTTTTATTCCAATCTGAATATTACCCTGGCTCACCTTCCCTTTCTGCCTGTTTTTGTCTTTGCCTGTCTCTGTTTCTGTCTCTGTTCAAAGCTTTGTCTTGTTTTTGCCTTATTGCCCTGGAAAACACTCCCAGTAAAAGATAAACAGAAGTGGGGAATAATAATTGTGGATGCAGTTCCTAACCTTAAGGAAAAGGCGATATATCTTTTATCTTTTTAAAAATATTGATGGTAGGATTTCATAGATCATCTTTGTTGAAGTTTTTTTTCCAAATTTGCTGAGTAATTTTGTAAGGAATAATGTTAGATTACATCAAATATGTATCTACAACAATTGTGAGAATCATGGGTTGATTTTTCCCTTCTATTTCTTAAATAGTAAATTTAGAAAATTTGTTTTCCCTTCCTCTTTCTGCTGTTCTTCTTTCTTTTACTTTTATCTGTTTGTTTGTTTTTTGGTACCAGGGATTGAACTCAGGTCCTATTGCTTGTGAGGCAGGTGGCAGAACCACTGAGCTAAATGTACCCCGGCCCTTGTTTTCACTTTTAGATAGAGTTATATATTTTTTTCCTTTCAAATGCTAGAGGATTCTGGGTAGAATTAATGTTTTTTCTTTTGTAAATATTTTGTACAATTTACTAATTGTACAAAGGAAAAAAAAAGATTTTGTTTAGGGAGCCTGAGAGCAAATTTGCAATAAGCATACAGAAAAGACTGAATATTGGGCTGACATATCTGTAAAATGTGTGCTATGGGCTAATCAGTGTGCTGCTAATTCAATCAGCTGCTAAAATCTGTTTCTAATGACTTGTTGAGTGACAATACAAAGCATTTTCTCCTTGAGATGTCCAGTTCAATTATTCACTCATCATTTTCATGGGCAATTAGTTGAGGTGCTGGTTTAATAGCAATATTACATTATTAGAAGTTTTGGTTTGAAAATTTATTATGCTGTTGTAGATTATTTTTTTCAGTACCAGGGATGGAACTCAAGACCTTTCACTAGCCAGGCAGGCACAGTGCCACTGAACTAGGTCACTGGCCCTGCTTTTAGAGATTTTTACACATTTATTGATATACCTTTGCTTTTTAAATAATAAAAAATATATAACCACTCAAATAATTACCATTTCGAATGATGTTGAACTTGTGGTCTCATTTTTCTGTGTATGATGAGTCTTGTTTTGCAATAAGCAGTTTTTAGAATAGATATTTTTCCATGATAACTTTTTACACTTTTTGCACTTTATAAGAGTACTGCACCTTATTTTTCCCAAGAGTTTTCCTGGTATGATATTCTTTGTGTTGACTTTAATTTTTTAATATCCGTTATCCTTCCTTTTGCATTATTTCCAGGAAAAATTAGTTATTTATATTTTTCCTTGCTAGATAACATAACATTTGCTTCTATGTTTATGAATTTCTCTTACTACCACTTTTGTGAAATTTGGTTATAATATAATTGTAATTCTCTTCACTGCCTTAAGATTGGGGTTTGTTGCACTTCCTTCTTCTATGACTATATAGTTTTATGAAATTTTGAAAAATGTTCACAAATTGGTTATCCAAATATTTTGTTGGTTTTTATGTCTCATTTCTTGTAAGCACACTTTTTAAGTACGTATGCTTGGAGGCCCAGGGATTTGGCTCAGTAGTTCTGCAGCCTGCCTCGAAAGCACAAGGTCTCGAGTTTGATCCCTGATACCACAAAAAATAAAAAGAAAGAAAGAAAGACAGAAAGAGAGAAAGAAAGAATGCTTGGTGGGTCGGCATTGCTCTAACCAGTTCAGATGTTCTATTTATTTATCTTTTTTTCTCAGTGCCTTATGTGACTGTTTTGTATTCTCATTTCCTTAATACAGTAACACCTCAATTCACAAAAATACCTGTTTATAAACAAGTAAGTTTGCAAACAAAAGTGTTCAGCAAAGTTTTTCTTCTATTTGCAAACTGTACCTCAGATGACAAACATGATCATAGCCACCTTCCCCAGAGTCTTAAATTAAGTTTATAAACCAAAGTACCACTGTATAAGGAATTATTTTTGTTTCCTGTAATGTTGATCAATACTTAATCTTATCTAGTATAAAGGCATTGAAAGTTTCAGCAGTAGAAATGTAATTTTAGGCTTTCTTTATGTTACCTGTTGCTATACTTAACTTTATGAAAAAACAAATATCAGTTAAATAACTGCTATATCTAAACTTTCAGTTCTGGATTAGTTAAGATTTATTAATTTATCTTTTATTTACTTTGGATTATATTTTCTTGATTCTCTGTGTATCTAGAATTTTTAAAAAACATTAAAGTTAAGTGACAAATATTGAGAATTATTTTTTATCTGCTGAGTATTTTGAAGACAGAAACATGAATAATGTGTATTATGAGTAGTATTTATTAATTGGATATGCTTTAATCCTCTAGATTCTTGATTTGATGATTTGTTATGCAAAGCAGTATAGTGTTGGAAGTATGATAATAATTCTCAAAAGGGCATTTGTGATTGTTTGCCATTTCCAGACATGTGGTAATGTCTGTAGACATTAGTTGCCAAATTCTAGAGATAGAAGTGGCTGGTATTTAGAGGGTAGAGGCCAGAGATGCTTCCAAAAATCCTATAAAGCACAGGACAACAGCCAGACAATGAAGAGTTAGGGCCTAGAGTTTCTAAAGTACTAAGTTTGAGAAACTCTGGATTAAGGCTACTTCACACTGTACTCCTGAGACAAGATACTTTAGTATATTTTTTTCCTAAAGCTTCCTGGATTTCTTTAATATAGCTGGTAAAACTAGCACTACTCTTTGATGAATAGTCTCTGTGATCTCTTATCTTTTCCCATGTATCTGTTTTGTGCCTTAAATCCCTTTGCTCAAAAGCCCGTGCGCATGCCAGTCAGCACTCCGAACTTGAGGAATGCTCTTACAGATCTCTGGAGTTCTTTCTCTGTGTGTCTCTCATTTCCAATAAGGACATTTTATTCTCTTCCTCCACCCAGTCTGTCTCTGTTCAGTCACATCTTCAAAAATATATTTTCTTCAAATAGTATTTTTTGGTGTCATGTGGTATTTCTTTTTTCTTTTTAATTAATTTTTTTTTTGGTACTTTCAAGGTGTACAGTGAAATGACAGTCATTGGAAATTTGCACCTTTACACAATCTGTCCTGGTTCTTTTTTTTTTTTTCTTTTAAATAGTATTTTAGTATGCTGAATTTGTATTTATAGTTTCAGGATGTTTCTTTTTAACATATATACAAGAATCATATTTCTTTAAGTCAATTCTAATGTATATTATTTAACATTATTAAACTAAACGTGTCAAAGCTACAAAAAGAACAAATCCACAGAGCTTTAAAATATAGTATAAGAAGTTAATTCAGCAAAAACATTGCCAAATTACTTATTTACTTTCTATATCATATTAAATAATAAGACTTTTGTTTTTGTTTTGGTACCGGGGATCGAATTCAGGTCCTTGTGCTTGTGAGGCAGTCCCCAGAACCACTGAGCTAAATCCCCAGATTTTTTAAAGACTAATCATTTTACAACATTCTGGCTTCCCTGAAATTCTTTTTTCCTTAACACATATGTAGTTCACTGGTATTACCTTATCAATTCAAATATTAATAGTAATTCTATTAATTTAAAGAAAAAAAAACTTTTGACAGTTTTGATAATAATTACCTTTGTTAACAGGTTAGTTAATTTAATATTACAAGGCCATGTCTTTTGGAATTTCTATTGTGAGAAAAGCATTGGAACCATTAGTTTTCACTAGACTCTAGCTTTACTATTTGGAAAATGACACATTAATTTGTCCAGAGAGCCTAATTAAATACTTCTAACTGAACAATAATGCGAGTAATATTTTGGGAAACAAATGAGCAAGAAAACATCTTTTAGCTTAATATTTCTCAAAGGAGCTCTCCACAATGGCAAGCCTCCAACAGTTATAAAGTTGGGCTTGAAGATATGATTTCTCCAAAGCAAAATGGAATGTTTGTATGTGTGTGTGTGTGTTCATATACACTATTAATAATTATGATCCAATGCAATGTATAAATACAGACAGAACAAAATAATAGCTTTGTGTATATCTTTACAAGAAGGATCTGTAATATTTGTAAAGGAAGAATAACAATCAAAATTATTCCATTAAACTCAAAAACATATAAATTTTAATACACAACCTCCTCTTTCCTAATTACATTAGTGAAGCATTTTTATTTATTCCTACTTATTTGTTTGTTCATTTTGAGATTCAACCCAGTGCTTTGCCCTGAACTACATCCCTAGCTCTTTGCCACTTTAAGAAATGAAGTGGAAAGGGTAGGGGAAAAGAAAAAATATGAGAACATCAAAAACTGGAAACAAAGTCTTTGCAAATAGGGAATGGCGGAGAGGGTGAAGGGAGGGCAGGGACAAGGGGAAAAAGTGAGAACCGAGACCTGTCATGTAAAGGCACAAGATCCTAATGATAAATTAACTGTACTGTATATTTTAAAAGTATCAATAAACTCAATGAGGACAAGAAAGAAACATTTCCATGAGTATATGTTTTTATTCCATCATGTTTATATTTAATTGAGGAGTTGGCATTTTACATGACGTCTTGTGTTTACTTCCCTTTTCTCCTTTCTCCCTCGCTCCTCTCAACATCTTTTCTCCGTTCGCGGTAGATCTATCTCCATGTTTCCAATCATTCATTCTTTATTTTGTTCTTTAAATCTTTATATATGAGTTTCTTATATAAGAAAAATGATGAGATATTTACACTTGCTTGTCTGATTTATTTCATTTAACATTATGGTCACAAAGTGATCCATTTTCCACAGATTACTCAAATTTATGCTTCTTTCTGTCAGGGTAGTTCTCTTTTTGTTTATATACAAAAATTCTCTGCCTCTCTCTCTCTCTCCCTCCCCCCCTCTCTCTCTCTCTCTCTCTCTCTCTCTCTCTCTCTCTCTCTCTCTCCCTCTGTCTCTCTTTGCAGGGGAAGGCTCAAATGCAATCTCCTACTACCACAAATGATACAATTGACTTTCCCACATTTTGGGAAATCGCTAAGGTCAGTACATTAGGAGTGCAATATGCCAAATTTTCTTTATCCAATTATCTGTTCATGGATATATTGGCTTCTTCCAAGAGTTAGCAGTTATGAATCATGCTGCTACACACATGGGAACACATGTATCACTGTCATATGATTTATTTATATCTTTCAGGAGGATGTCTAGGAGGGTAAGAGATAGGCAAATGGAATTTCTACTTTTTGTTTTTTGAAGACTCTCCAAATTGATTTTCATAGTGGTCATAGCAGTTTATGTTTCCTTCAAAAGTATAGAATAGTTCCTTTTTCCTATAGCCTCATCAATGCTTGTTATTACTGTACTTATTTTGATATTCATTATTTCTCAGTGTTCTAATTTTCATTTTTCTAATGGCTGGAAATGTTGAACATCTATTTGCCTCTTTTTGTGAAGTAGGGGCCTTGTACTTGAGAGGCAGGTGGCAGAACCAATGAGCTAAATCCCCAGCCCTATCTATTGGTCTTTTGTACTCTTCCTTTGAGAAGTGTCTATTCATTTCCATTGTCTATTTTTTGGGGTCTTTCAGTCTTGGGATGTAAGTTTTGAGTTCTTTATATATTTTAGATACTACTGCTCTGTCTGAAGAATAACTGACAAGATTATTTCCCCCTTTTGTTGTTTCTCTCCACATCACCAATATTGTTAAAATGGCCATAAAGTCAATACTGATATAAACATTTAATATAATCTCAATACAATTATCAATAGCATCTCGGATAGAATGGGGGAAATTTATGCAAAACCAGAATAGAGCCAGATTAACACAAGCAATCCTGAGAATTAAAAACAAATCAGGAGACATCACAGTCTCAGGTTTCAATTTATATTGCAAAATCACAGGGATTAAAAAAAATGGCACTGGCAAGAAAAACAGACATGAAGGTGAATGGAACAGTACAGAACATACTAAAAAATTCAAGGTCAAACTCATCTGATCTTTGAAAAAAGGGCACAAAACATAGGCTGGCGAAAAAGCCTGTTTAACAAATGGTGCGGGAAAACTGATTACCTAATTGTCGAAGACTGAATTTAGAATTATATCATCACCGTGTAATTAAATAAAAATCAAAAGTGACCAAAGTTATGACTTTTCATAAAAACAATCTACTGGCATAAAAAATAAGCAAATTTCTGGAAGATATAGGCATAAAGACTTTTTGTGTAGAACTCCAAATGCACATGAAATAACATCAAGAATCAACATATGAGACTTTAATATACAAAACAATTTCTGCATAGCAAAAGAAACAACCCATATTGTGAAGAGACAAACTACTGAATAGGAAAAAAATCTCTTTTGTATTTTCATTGAAATTTTCAACTGAAGTGGTGTTAATGGCTACGGATAGCAAAATATGATAACTATTAGAGGAAATAAAATCAATTACATTTTCTTGGATTAAGAAACTTGTCAAAAGTAGGTAAATATTTACAGTTTACTCTAATGACAGATTCACTACACTCAGGCAGATTGCATTTGTATATTTTGTGAACTATGAATTTTCTATAGCCTTTTAATAATGATTAGTTGTGTCTATTTTGATTATTCAATAACTACTTTTATATTTTAAATTGGAACCGTAGAATGTGGTAAACTTAACAATAGTAGCAATTTATAATTACTTTTTTATCCTAGCAATAATATAGTTATTAAAGATATCTTCCTGTACAGAAGAGAAAATAGGGTTAAACTGCTAGTTGATTATTAAATTTCACATGAACAGATCAAGTATTCAGAGTCATATATTTAGGAAATGTTTTTTAATCATGATATTATTGATCATACTCTTAAATAAATAACTAAGAAATAAGATAAGTAGTGAATTTTGCATAATATTTGTATGAAAATACATTTTCCCAAAGTTATATTTTATTTGGTATGAACACAAACTCACTCAAAACAAGTGTTTGTCCATTTTTCCAGACGTTTATATTCTGTTTGTCTTTCAATGATAGACTCTACATTTGCATTATTTCTCTACTTTCTCATTTGTAAATATGCACTTCAAAAAAGCTTGCATCTCCTTCAGTATTTTGCTTAAAACTTTCTTCTGCCACATATCTTAGTTTATTACTTTTAAAATTTTCCCTCCAAAAATTTATTGAAGGTGGACACTCATCCATAAAGCTGTTTGCCTCTCTTGTAACAGGAGCAGCCTTTATTCAAATTTCCAATATTTATAGTTTCCTTATACTTTATATATTCTGGTGAACCCTAATGAGAATGAAGTTTAGTAATCCACATATGGAAATTTATTATTTTGCTAGTCTGGTTGTTTAATAAATTCATATTTTGGTGGTATATTTTAGGACAACAGCCACACTTGTAAGTATCAGTTTTCTGTTCATGTTTTGCCTTTTTAACAGAATACCATAAAGTGGGTAATTTATAATAAACATAAGTATATTGACTTATGGCAGTAGCACCTGAAAACTGTAAGGTCAATGGGCTGGCATCTTGCTGTGGTAATTCTGGGGAGGGGATGGGACAAATTCCTTAAAAATAAACCACTCTTTTAATGATGACACTAGTTCATTCATAAAGGCAGCACTATTGCACATAATTATCATTTAATTCCCCTGCATCTTAATATTTTTAAAATGGAAATTAAATTTTCAACATAAGAAGTTTCAAGTACACATTTAAAGGATTGCAGCTATTATAAAATGCACTGGTAATTCAAACTGGCTTTGAGCTGAATCCACAGATTTACCTTTTCTTCATTTAAAACTTTATGCAAACACCATGTAATTTTGTTCTATCTTGTTCCCCCTTTACACTCCCCAAAAATTTGCATGAAAATCACATTCTAAGGATTATTTTTCCTAGAACTGTGTCAAAGCCAGTCTTTTCTCCTGAAAAATGCTTCTAATTGGGTAAAATTGAAAGCTCAACATTAAACCAGAACTATAAAATCCACAAAAATGAAAATTTTGACATGTGCTTCATTTTTCTTGGTTTAGCAGTGCTTGTATTGTATTGTATCACCCAATTATTTATTTGTTAAAATATCAGTTTTGACCTAATACCTTATGTGCTAGCTTTTATATACTGGAAGTCAAGAGTAAACACAATAGACATGATATCAGCTCCCCTGATCCTTCTGTTATACTAGAGGGGATACATGACAAAGTAAATAATATTTGGAGGTATTTTACAAAATCTTATTAAAGCACTATTGCAGTATATTCAGATCCAGTGGTCAGGGTGATGTACAAGTTACCCTGTGTTTACAAATTTAATATGTGTTGTGGCTGGAGTGTTGATCTATGTGTTCTCTAGAACTCTTGATCTCTTTTCAAAGAGGTTTTATTCATATTGCTGAGATTTCACTTCAGAATTCTGTTTATCTCTTGTGATATACTTTTAAGTCTGACAGGTGAACAGGACAAGCACCTTCCATTTGTTTTGGTGTAACTCCTATCCACATTTAGTCATGGGAGAAGACATCAAATCCACAGTATTGTTGAGCGATCGTGATCCAGGTAATTCTGTAACATATGAAAAATCTAAAATTGGGAGAATAAACAGGCAAAACAAAATTATATCATGAGGGAAACAAGCATGTAAGAGTTTCAGAGTTAAAGCTCAGTCTCTTATTATCACATATTACGTTGAGGTAGAGAACTGAACATTGGTAAATAAATCAAGAATGAAGCAATATTCCATGTAGTTGGAGCTAGATCAATTGACATAATGCATGAAATAGTCACAGTAAACAAGTATTTAATAAATTAACATTTTATAACAATTACCTTTACATTTAAAGTGAAATAATAAACAGGAAATATAAGCACGTTCATGAGGCCAAATCCTCCCATAATACAGCAATGCTAACTGCCTTTTCAATTTATTGCCAAGGTAGAAAAATATGCAGACATAAACATGAAAACTATATGCAATGTAATCTCCCTGATTCAAAGCGACAAATAATAATTACAATAATTATTTTCCTTTCAACTTTTTAAAACTCTCACTTTTATTCTTTTTGTTTGTTTTAAAATAAAATAGTTTATGTTAATTTTAATAAAGGACCCAAAGTATTCAAGTAAAAAAGTTGAACACTGTGGCCAAGAAGTACTTTAATGAAATGAAATATTGTAATTCAATTCCATTATTTTTAACAGTGAAACTCTTCTCCCTTCTTTTTGGGCTGTTCCAAAAAGCACTAGGTTAAAATATTGTAAATAATAGCATATAAATGACATCTTCAGCTTCTCTTAATAATAGAGGGAATTTTTATGCTACAAAAATATTTTCTTTGTAATCAAACTTTTAAAATTTTTTATATTATGTAGACAAGTATAAGAGTAGGCTGATCTTTGCCCTCTCTGCTTTAATTTGGAAATTGAATGTATTTTTCTATAATTTTAAAATAAGTCATCAACACAGAGATGTATTAGTATGAATCATGCTGCATCAAAATTTTCTGCAATTTTTTTCATCCTTTTAGGTTGCATATATAATTTTTCTCCACTCCATGGCAATGACCTTCAATAATTTAGTTGAATATATTTTCTGTTTTATTGACTACACATTTCAGTTACTTGTCTGTCTAATATAATATAACTTTTTGTGAATTGATGAGACCTCTGCCTTTTTAAATCTAATTTGCAGTCAATTCAAAACTTTTCCTTTGTCACCAAAGTGACATTTGTATGCATTGTATTTTTAGTCTCTTATTTTTTATTTTTGCATCACTTTTACCTTCAATTCGATTCTCCAGATATGCACTATCCATTTTAATCTAATTCTGTTGTTTGAATATATGATATTTCTCCTGCCAGGTTCTTATAAGATTCAAATTGTCATTAAGCTCGCTAGAGTATAAAGTTAACATATTATATGGGGAATTTTCAATTTCTTGAATTATAAATTCTTCCATGGAAGATTTTTACATTTAAAATTTAAATTTCCTTCTTTTTCATCAACTATTTATACTGATGTTTTATACTTTTCCTCCCTTAGAGTTTATTTCTTCTTGAGAGATTTCTATTCATATCATCTCTTCACTTTAGTCTGAAAATGTTTTTTTCTCTTGCCCTTTCCACCATAGTTGG